TATTTCTATATTCCCTTTTATTCAGAGTAGATTCCATACTCTACTTTTATATCCTGTCATATCTATATCACTTTTTTTCATTTCAAATCTAGAACTCTAAATCTAATCTCCTTTGTCAACTTTTTTTCCTGACAATTACAAATAACTTATAACCAACCGCCCTACACAATGACAACTATCCAAAACCCATTGGATGACCAAAAACCACCCACCCCACCTCACATCCACAAGGAAGATAAGGTAAGGACAAAGCAATTTGCTAGCAATGATACAAGAACTAGTGATCTCTCAAACAAAATTCCCAGCCAATGTTTTTCAAATTAATATCTGTGAATTCTCTACACCACTATTCATATCATTTATGTTATTTAACAGTTATTAAAAGCCTAATGTTTTGTCCCTTCAGGAGTCCTCCCCCTGTGGCAATGGGGAAAGCATGGTGCTATGGCCTCTGTGTTGTCCTACGAAAGCCTGGTTCACGCTGTGGGAGGAGTGGTAGGAAGTGTGACTGCCATGACCGTGTTCTTTACCTTGGATACTGCTACACTTCGACTTCAGGTTGATGAAAAAGAAAGTAAAAAACTATGCCCGTAGTGCTCCTGGAGATTAAGTAAGAAGGCCTCCTGGCACCATAATGAGGGTGGTTTCCAGTTATTTCAAGTCTCTGCTGCTCCAATTTTGTCTATTTCTACACTTTTAATAGCCTTAAAGCAGTATGGGTCAAAGGTCAACGTTCTTCTACAGGAAAAGATCTGGTGGTTGGATTTGTTGCAGGAGTGGTGAATGTGTTGCTAACGACTCCACTCTGGGTGGTAAACACCACACTGAAGCTGCAAGGGGCAAATTTTCGGAATGAAGACATTATACCAACTAACTACAAAGGCATTATCGATGCATTCCACCAGATTATTCGAGATGAAGGAATCTTGGCTCTGTGGAATGGCACCTTTGCCTCCTTGCTGCTGGTCTTCAACTCTGCCATCCAATTCATGTTCTACGAAGGCTAAAACGCAGCTTTTAACGAAGCAGATGAAGTTCTCTTCTCGACATGTTCATCATTGGTGCAATAGCCAAAGCGATTGCCACCACAGGCACCTATCCCGTGCAGACGGTACAGTCGATTCTGCGGTTTGGACGTCATAGACTAAACCCAGAAAACAGAACACTGGGAAGTCTGCGGAATGTTCTCTATCTTCTTCACCAGCGAGTCAAGCGCTTTGGAATAATGGGACTTTACAAAGGCCTGGAAGCCAAGCTGCTCCAGACAGTGCTCACAGCTGCCCGCATGTTCCTTGTGTTCGAGAAACTGACAGCTGCTACCTTCACCGTAATGGGCCTGAAGAGCACACACAAGCACTGAGTCCTCGCACAGGACAGTGTGGAGATGCACATGCTGAGCAGAGAGACGAGGCGTCATTCTCCTTTCCCTCTGGCTCCATCCACACCACAGACATTCCTGTCATTGACTGGAAAGGCATCTAAGGCTAAACAGGGTTGGCTAGACCTATTGTCAACTTAATTGTTACGGTGTTTGGTTGGATTTGGGAGTGGTGGATAGACTAATTTGAAAACCTGAAAATGTAGGTTTGTGGGTGTTTATTAATTTTTTCAAGGGTATGGACTTTCCATCTGAAGCTTCTCTCAACTTTGCCACCTGTTCTCTTTCCCTGAATGCTCTCCCAGGTTCTGGACGATTCAGTACCAGAGTTCTCCTCAGATACTTCATGTGCCTTATTCTTGGTAAATATTCTTCTTACTGAAAATAACACAATGACTTTGTCATGGGCTTGACTTTATGTCTGTCTGACTCTTTTCCTCCTGCTTAATGAGAGTTAAGTGAGCTATTTATTTTGTGGAGGAAATGAAAATTATTAATCCTAAACGATTTCTTAAAATTTGTAAATGTCGATTATTCATTAGTGTTTGACATAGTTTTCTAAACACATATTTATTTTGAATTGTCTTTTATTACAAAAAAGCCCTGATGTTATATGTCCATTCATGCAAGCTCCAAATAGACAAGCCTCAATAAATTGTCAGCACACACACACACACACACACACACACACACACACACACACACAACCTAATGTTTTAAAAATGGATTAGTTTTTTAAATGATTCAAACTTCTTCGAGAAGAAAAAGAAAAAAGGGGTATAAACAGTTGAAAAGGAAGTACCTTGATGAATGTCCAAGGAATTCTACTAAGCAACATTAAAACAAATAAGGCTCCATGGTAAATGAGTCCAATAACACAATGTCATCAAAATGAGGAAATGAGAAAGAACAGATTTGCAATTGCTGGGGTTTAGAAACAGTCAAGGTAGCAGGCCAAAGGAATGCAACTGTGTCATGAAGGACAACAATGGATTCGTAGATGAAGAAGATGCATGTCAATTGTGATTGTACATGAAAGGAAATGAACGGACCATAGCATTTCATATTCTTGTTTTGTTAACTTCTTTTCTCTTTGGGGGCCCAACACTGGATCCCAAAAAATTACAGAAGCTTACTCTTACTTATGAATGTCCTGCCTTAGCCTGGCTTATTTCCAACCAGCTTTTGTTAACATAAATCATCCCAATTACCTTTTGCCTCTATTATTTATACCATTCTCTATGACTTACTGGATGCCTAGCTGTGTGGTTAGGTCTCTTGCCCATGCCATCCACCTCTCCTTTTTTAAAATTATTTCTGCCTTATTCTTGATCTTCCTCTATTTATTTTCTATGCATTATAGCCCACCTATCCTCACTCATGCCTAAATATTGGCCATTCAGCAATTTGTTAAGATTGATCAGATGCTTTAGACAGGCAAAGCAGCAAAGCTTCACAGAGTTAAGCAAATGCAGAATAAAAGAATGCAACGTATCTTTGCTTCATTAAACAAACATCCCACAGTATAAAGGAATGTCACGCGGCTTTTTTGACTATTCCAGAACAATCCCCTAAAGCTAAGATACTCACACAAAATAATAATGGAATGCAGATGATGCTATAAATGCCAATTTTCTGGCTGTGAAACCACACTAAAATTTTGAAAGCTATTATACTATAAAAATGGTTAAAAGTACAACAAATCTTATGAAACCTTTCCTCCAACTGAATGTTACTCCACAGTCTATTCAAAACAAATTCTGTAATGACAAAATACTATGTCATATAGAAAAACAGGAGATGTAATACAAAATAATCCATTTATATGATGAAATTTGTTTATTTCCAATAAACATAGAAAACAATGGAAAAACTCAAACATATTGTAGTGTGGAGAGACATTTATAGAAAAGTAGGAATCTTGAAAGACGTGGGATTGTACAGGCCCTTAGTAACCAATACTAATATTCTTATAAACATAGCTGTTATATAGAGAACTATATTTGAAAAATGAAGTAAACATAGAAGTTTTAACAAAAATAAATGTAGCTATAGAAATTGTAAATCTCTTTTAATCTATAAGTTAAAATTAAATATATAGAACAAATTCAGACAAACTAAAAGTAGGAATACTTGTATTTATCATAAAAATCAAAATGGTATCTAACTCATCCACTGCATATCTTATAATTCATAGGAAAAAATATCACTTATAACACAGGGGATCAAAATTCCTCATAAATGAATGTACTCAATCTGAAATATGTGTATCTCTGTAAAGAAATGATGATGTCTGTGCTTATATGAGAACCCTGAAATATTTCTTCAAATAATGTACAATCTGAGAAAAACTTTTGTTCATCAAATATTGTAGAATTGAAATTATCCAACATGAAATAATCATTCAAGAAAACCAAACCAAAACAGCAAGTCAACTCTCCTAGTCTTTTGAAATTTTGTAATACATTCTTATCTAACCTATGGCTTGAAAATATTATTTAGTACATGAAAAGACATGATTATCAATATAAGTATTGACAAAGAAAAACTGGCAGCATAATTCTGAGGTCCTTTACCTCAGCTGAAGAACTTGACTACAAGCAGTCACTGAGAGGTGTCCAGGAAAGGCTAATCATTGGTTATGGAGGGATCTTGGAGTTGAGTAGTGACTATTTGGTAGTTCCTTGGGGTTTCCTTATCTTACACATCCCTAGGACAGTCTTGAAGATGGCTCCCACAGTGGAATTCCACAAATCACATAGTTAAAATCTCTGAGGTCAAGGACAAAAGGAGGTAAACCAACCAAAAGACCATTTTGGAGACTAACTGACCTAGTGAGCAGCTGCCAGCTGTGTGTGTGTGTGTGTGTGTGTGTGTGTGTGTGTGTGTGTCTGTGTGTGTGTGTGTGTGTCTGTGTGTCTGTGTGTTTCTATGTGAGCTGGTCAGGAGACTTCAATAGAAACAAACAGAAAGACCTTCTTTCCTGAGAGGTTTCTTAGTACCTGAGGAATCTATCTCAAAATAGAAATGCTTCAGCAAAATATCAAACCAAAGGACTCAAGAAATAACAATAACAAAAAAAATCAAGAAAAAATCGAAGACATTTTTTATATAAATTCTATGAAAAAAAAATCCACAAAGCCCCAAATATACTATTGAACAACATCCCTAACAATACTGAGCATGATAAAAAGATGAGAAGTAAACTTATATACTCATATACAAAACTAAGAATGTGAGAATCACAGATGATAATGTACAAAGGTCTGAAGTTTTATTCAAGGCCCTTGGTAAGATTCCTAGCATCACTCAAAAAGATAAAGGAATAAGCCACACAACTACTTTGAAAATAAAAACTCATTAAAATTAACTCGACATATAAAGACCAGTAAAATTAGGATACTATACACATCAGATCCACTGCAAGAATTTATGACAGCATCAGGGCTTCCACTGGCTTTGGCCTCTTATTTGTCATGTTCCACAGTGGAAGAGCATTCCTTTGCATGCCTCTTTTGTACTTTTGCAAACATGCTAAAATATCAATGATGTGGCATATTATGCTGAGAGTTTGAGCATTGACCGTTTTCAATCAAAGATTAGAATCTACAAACAGACTCACCGACTCAGGTCAGTCCCGGGAAGGTACTGGGAGAAGCGGGCATGCAGTAGCGGAATGAGCCTGAGGTCACACCATCGCTTTTCCCACCGGAGGCCTGGAGATGTTGGCCATGATGAACAGGAAAGTGTGTCCTGAAAAGAGCAACATGTTCAAAAGGTTTGTGCTCTCTATATTCTCAAATTTATCACTTTGGGATGTTAATTTTTTTCTTATTGTTTGAATAGTTTTATAGGCCTAAATAATCTTCAGCCTAGAATTCCACTGCAAAATGTCAATGTTAGAAGAACTAACAATTGAAGACTAGGAAAGACTCACTAAGAAAAATACCTGAAAAATATGTGTGAAATGGAAGAAAACTTGAAACTGTGACAAAGTAGAATTTGTTCAATAATTGAAGACATGGGAAAAACATGGAAGCAACAAACACCTCATAGAAGATGAAGTCACTAACAAGTGACCAATTGGCCAAGAGTTTTGAGTACCTGCAAGTGTCCAAATACCATCATAATAGAAAATACCTTTTATAGGTCACAAGCGTAAACACAGACTGAGCACATTCATTATTAATCTTGAAAATATTTCTAAGAGTGAACACTCCTGCAATTGAATCTTAAACATGTTGCGTTGGGAAGTCTTGATCTCTGTTTTCAAAAAGTTTAGGTTCTTTGATATCACTTTTGTGTCATCTCAATGCTATGGATACTTCTTTAATATTATAGGTGTTTCTAGTTTTGTTAGGGATTTTAAAAACATTTTTGTTAATTTTTGAAATTATGATGCATTTATATAATTTTCACCTTTCCTTTATTCGCTTCAGACTCACCTGCATACTCTCCACCCTTCTCTCATTCAAATTCATATCCTCTTTTTCTTTATTGCTGTGTGTGATTGTATATATGTGTATATTCCTAAAAACATAGATACAATCTGTTCTGTTCATATTATATTCCAAGAATGCATATTTTCTCAGGGATTGCTCCTTGGTACTAGATAGCCAACAGTGAATTTTTTTCAAAATGACTATTTCTCCTGCTCTCAGCATTCCTTAGTTGCCTGTAGTTCTTTTTCTAGGGTGGAGGCCTTGTAAGCTTCCTAACTTTCACATTAGGATTTGGTATCTTCTTTCATATACTGAAGAAAAAATGTATTTGATTAAAATAAGCTTTTCCACTCAGTATTGCATCCCAGATACACTAAAAGATTTGCCACCTGTCAATATCATGAACCAATGCTAGAATTAGGAATTACGTTTATTTATTAATTCATTTCAGTGGGTTAAGAAGAAACAAGAATATTTCAAAGATACTAGGTGCTTAGAGCTGTTTGAAATACTATGGAAATTAGAGTGACCAGTCACACAGGGGTGTCCATATAGGTGACTTATGAGGTCCCCACATCTAGAATACACATTCTTTTATGAGAATCCATTCTTCAATTGTTAACTATCAGGTGACAATAGAAAATGGAATGTTATGGGTATCAGTGTATGACAAGGGCACAGTTACTTATTCAGTTGCTACAGATGGTTAGTATATGATCTCATGCTGTATACTCAGGTATTCAACATGTGATAAGATGTCAGGTAAATAAAATGCAACAAGTGTTTGAGGGGTTAAATTGCAAAGCAGAACAAGAATCCTCCTGGTCAGAATCCAAAATTCATAAAATCCAACTCTATTCCCATGGATATAAAGTAAAGTGATTTAAAATGTCTCACTGAGGGAGCCTCCTGAAGCATGGGAATTGCTCACAAGGGAGCCTGTCTCAGTGGGCCAGGCTATCCAGAGTTTGCCAGCATCCTAGTCCCACCTCTACACACTGTAGGAGGAAAGCATGGACCTGTTTCTGGCCCATCTTCCAGTGCCCTGCTCAGACCCTCCTGAGGCCTGGGAACTGCCCACAGGAAATCCTATCCTGGTGGACCAGCCCATCCAGAGTCTGGGGAAGTAGCAGTACTAGTCCTGTGTCCACCCACATGAGGAGGCAAGCATGGACCTGTTTCCAGCCCACTTCTGGTGCCCTGCTATAACCCTCCTGAGGCCTGGGGATTGCAAAATGTGTAACCGGCAGACCAGCCCATCCAGAGGCTGCCAGCATCAAGGTGCTAGTTCTGCCTCCACCTATGGAAGGAGGTGAGTGTGGGACTATTTATAGCCCACCTTCTCGTTCCCTGCTCAGAGCCTCCTGAGGATTGGGGCCTACACAAGAGATAACCCATGCCGGCAGAACAGCCCAACCAGACTGCAAATATTGCAGTACTAGTCCTAACTCAACCCACAGGAAGAAGAGAGTCATTGGAGTATTGTACTTGCTTGAACCCACTGAAAGAGAACCTTGGTCCCATACCAAGTAGAGGGAGAGACAACACAGGTATCCACTGGAAGAAGGAATGAGAAGATGACAATATAAGAACACAGTCAATAACAGAAAAATCAAAATGATGCCACCAGAGTGGGCATCCACACCAGCAAGATCTGAACATTTCAAAGCAGATGAAACAGAAGAGAACAACCCTAAAAACAACTTTATGAAGATGATAGAGACCCTCAATGAGATAATGAGAAAATTCCTTAATGAAATGGAAGAAAAACAAACAAAAAATTCAAGAAATGGAGGGAAAGACAAACCAAAAATTGCAAGAAACAACTCAAACAGTGCAAGGTTTGAAAGCTGAAAGAGAAACAATAAAAAACACGGTCTGAGGGAACCCTAGAATTAGAAAAACTGGGTACAAGATTAGGAACTACAGATGCAAGCAAAACCAACAGAATACAAGAGATGGAAGAGAGAATCTCAGGCGTTGAAGATGTACTAGGAGAAATAGATTAATCAAGCAAAGAAAATCTTAAGTTCAGTGAATCCCTAACACAAAATATCAAGGCAATATGGGAAACCATGAAAAGACCAAACCTAAGAATAATAGGTATAGAAGAAGGTGAAGAAGTCCACCTCAATGGTGGAGAAAACATATTCAACAAAATAAGAGAAAAAAATGTTCCCAACCTAAAGAAAGACATGCCAATGAAAGTACAAGATGCTTACAGAACACCAAATAGTATGGGCCACAAAAATGTTCCCTCGCCACCTAATAATCAAAGCCTGAAACATACAGAATAAAAAAATGAAGATTAATAAAAGCAAAGGAAAAAGGCCAAGTAACATATAAAGGCAAACCTATCAGAATTACACCTGACTTCTCCATGGACACTCTAAAAGCCAGAAGGTCCTGGGTAGATATTGTACAAACACTAAGAGACCATGTTTGCCAAAACAGACTACTATACCCAGCAAAGCTTTCAGTTACTATAGATGGAGAAAACAAGATATTCAATAACAAAACCAGATTTAAACAATACATATCCATTAGTCCAGTCCTACAAAAAGTTCTGGAAGGAAAACTCAAATGCAAGGAAGTTAAATACACCCACAAAACCAGAGGCAATAGATTAATTTTACTTTCCCAACAGCCAAAAGAAAAAATGGGGGAGGGAATCAACACACAATACCAACAAATCAAAAACAAACAAAAATTAGTAATCAATGGTTATTAATACACTTCAATATTAATGGTCTTAACTCACTTATAAAAAGACACAGGCTAACAGAATAGAGAGGAAGACATACAAGGAACACACCTCAACTTCAAAAATAGATAGTACCTCAGAGTTTAGGGTAGGGAAAAGATTCTCCAATCAAATGGACCCAAGAAACAAGAGGGTGTATCAATCCTAATATCTAACAAATTAGAGTTTAAGCTAAAAGCAATCAAAAGAGATGGAGAAAGTCATTTCAAATTCATCACAGGAGAAATCCAGCAAGATGAAGTCTCAATTCGGAATATATATGCCCCAAATACAAAGGCATCCACATTTGTAAAAGAAACATTACTAAAACTCATATTAAACATAAAATCTTACATACTTATAGTGGAAGACTTCAATACCCCACTCTCACTAGATAGGAACAACAGACAGAAATTTAACAATGAAACAAGGGAACTAACAGAAGTTATGTCCTAATTGGGTTTAACAGACAGCTATAGAACATTTCATCCCAACACAAAAGAATATACCTTCTTCTCAGCACCACTGGAACCTTCTCTAAAATAAACCATATATTCGCAAATATATCAAACCTCAATAGGTTGAATTCAAGTTATAATTCAACAACAACACAAATTGCAAAAACCCTATAACACATGAAAATTGAACAATGTGCAATTGCATCAATCCTGGATAAAGGAAGAAATGAAAAAAGAAATTAAAGACTTCCTAGAATTCAATGAGAATGTAGATACAACATACCCCAACTTATGGAACTTGAAAGCAGTACTAAGAGGAAAGTTCATAACACTTAAGTGCCCACATGAAGAAGCTAGAGAATTACCAGCACAAGGTAAAGCTCCAGAGCAAAAAAGAAGCAAACTCACCCCAGAGGAGTAACACTATGATCATCAAATTGAGGGCTGAAATCAATAAAGTAGAAACAAAGTAAACAATACAAAGAATCAATGTAACAAAGAGTTCATAGACAAACTGTTTATCCAAAGTGACCAAAAGGCAGAGAGAACATGCAAATTAACAAAATCAGAAATGAAAAGGGGGACATAACAACAGGACACTGAGGAAACTCAGAAAATCATCAAGTCATACTTTGAAAACAGTACTCCACAAAATTTGAAAATTTAAAGGAAACTGATACTTTTCTTGATAGGTATCACTTACCAAAATTAAATCAAGAACAGATAAGCAATTTAAAAAGACCTATAACCCCTCCTGAAATAGAGGCAGTCATCAAAAGTCTCCCAACCAAAAAGCCCAAGGTCAGATGGCTTCAATGCAGAATTCTACCAGAAATTCAAAGAAGAGCTAATAACATTTCTCCTCAAATTGTTTCAGACAATAGAAGCAGAAGGGTCATTGCCAAACTCTTTTTACAAGGCTACAATTACCTTGGTACCGAAGTCTCACAAAGACACAACTAAGAAAGAGAACTACAGACTAATATTCCTCATGAATATTGATGCAAAATACTCAATAAGATAATGGCAAATCAAATCCAAATCTCACCGACTCTGATCAAGTAGGCTTTATGGCAGGGATCCAGGAATGGTTCAACATATTAAAATCCATCAATGTAATCCACCATATAACCAAACTGAAAAATAAAACCACATGAACATCTCACTAGATGCTGAAAAAAGACTTTGACAAAACCTAATACTCCTTCATGATAAAGGTCTTGGAAAGTTTAGGGATAACAGGAACATACCTAAGCATAATAAAAGCTATATACAGCAAAGCAATAGCCAGAATCTAAAGGGAGAGAAACTCAACGTGGTTCCTCTAAAATCAGGAACAAGAAAAGTCTGTCCACTGTCTCCATATCTCTTCAATATTGTACTTGAAGTTCTAGCTAGGGCAATACGACAACAAAAAGGAGATGAAGCGTATACAGATTGGAAAGGAAGAGGTCAAACTTTCACTATTTGCAGATGATATGATAGTTTACATAAGTGACCCAAAAACTCTACCATGGAACTCCTAAAGCTGATAAACAGCTTCAGCAGAATGGCAGGATACAAGATTAACTAAAAAATCAGAATCCCTTCTACCTACAGATGATAAATGGACTGAGAAAGCTATCAGAGAAACATCATCTTTTACAATAGTCACATACAACAAAAAATATCTTGTGTGAATGCTAATTAAACAAGTGAAAGACCTATATCACAAGAACTTTGAGTCTTTTAAAAAATAAATTAAATAATATAGCAGAAAATTGAAAGATCTCCCATGTTCTTAGACAGAGTCAACATATTAAAAATGACAATCTGGCCAAAAACAATCTTCAGATTCAATGCAATCCCCATCAAATCCTTCACAGACATTGAAAGAACAATACTCAACTTTATATGGAAAAAAAGACTCAGGATAGACAAAATCACCCTGTAAAATAAAGGAAGTTTCAGAATCATCATCATCCCTGACTTCAAGGTCTACTATAGAGCTATAGTAAAGAAAACAGTTTAGTATTGGCACAAAAACAGATCAATGAAATCTGTGATATTAACACACACACCTATGAACACTTGATTTTTGACAAAGAAGCTAAATTTATACAATGGAAGCAAAGATAGCATCTTCAACAAATGGTGCTGGCATAACTGGATGCTGGTGTGTAGAGGAATATGTATGTATGTATGTCTTTTGAAATTTTGTAATACATTCCTAACTAACCCATGGTTTGACAATATTGTTTAGTATATGAAAAGATGTAATTATCAATACAGGTGAATTTTAAATACCGAAACTAATTCCACAATGCCAAGAATATTGCTTTCTTTAAATAGAAACCAGGTGCATGGAACAGACAGCATTTACATACTGAATTTTATGACAGAATTTTCTCCAACACATCACATGATGGGTTTGCAAAACAACCAAATTGCCCAAAAGGAAGTACTCATGAAACAAAATGTCCATCTAGATATTATTTTTAAAAATAAGTTGGAACAGAAAACTGATTCTAGGTATAAGGACGAGGAAAGTGCTTCCAAATTGTGTTATCTGACTCTGAATATTTGTTGTTTTCCACTGTGCTTGGAAGGAATTTCTTCATCTCACCTCCAGGGGAAAACAGTGTTATTTTTAAACAATAGTTATGATAAGTGGAAATCTGTGAATAGGCAGAGCCTGCCCTCCTGTATTGAATCTTAACCTCAGCATGGGAGGGAAATTGTGTTGAGCCAGCTGTACCCAGAATAAACAGATCCCCCCAAGTGGAGCAGGGCCACATCTGCTTTGTAGTCTTCCAACTCTTGGATCTCAACTACCTCCATGTTCAAACTCTTCACAGTCATTTATTTCCTTAAATCTTCACATACTTAAGCACTCCTATAATATTCCATATTATAAGCCTATATAGACTTCAGGCAGACTTCATTTAATGGAAATACACAAACACTTTCTTACTATAAATGTGCTTTACTTGAATTTGCAAGTCGTTTCTTCTTTTTTAAACTACAATTGTAAGTTTTTATCATACTAAAGAATACCCAAAATGTAAAAATATATTTCAATATTAATGATGCAAACAATGTGAATGAACCTATGGCAGTAGGGGATGTATATAGCATCTGGTAACAACAATTCTATACAACTGTATATGTCAAAAATTGTGAGGCTGAAGCAGTAGTAGTAACTGGTATGCCCTAATTATAGGTTTCTAAAAAATGACATTCTTATAGAAAGCAATGCAATGAGTAGAAAACAAACCATAATGTTTCCTTCCCTTAAACCATTCACCCTGACTTCTCTACTTGCCATTACTACAGAGGTGGTAGAAGACTTTAGACAAATCCAGATTAAAAACATTACCAACTACCTTTCTCTAGCTCTGAATTCATGGGGGACCTCAGAGGAAATCTGAAAGATTGGAGGGAGCACAGGATGATGTAGCCAACACCTTGCCAAAGATTTGTTACATCTCCTTTGCTGGCCAACCAGAGGAGGCCTTCCTTGTTCCTTCCGTATCAAATCACACAGAATACTTGAACTGAAGTTCAGAGGTCTCTGAATCTCAGGTAAATACTTGAAAGGTGCTATCAGCTATTAAAATGCACAGCTGTCTGACATCTCTAGTACAAGAAAAGATTCCTTAACAGAGAATTTAAGGAGTAGTGAATAAAGAAAATTTGTTAAATATACACAATGGAGTTTTATTCAACTTTAAATGGGTTGGGCTTGAGGGATTATAACATTTTCAAGAAAATGGAACTACAGACCATCTTGTTAAGTATCAGTCAGTTTCACACAGATATCTAAAGTGTGTTTTCTCTCATATATGGAATCTGGAGTCGTAAGGTGTGAAGATAAAGGGGAGACTATTATGGCTATGGAATAATAAAAAATGATGGAGAAGAGAATAATAAAATTTGAGAGATGGATTTATGTGATCATGGAATGTCATATACATGTATGGGAATGTTATAATAAAACTCCTTGTGGTTTATAAATATTATGTATTAAAAAAGAAACTGAAATATTTTCTTTCATGCTATATTTCAAGTTAAAAACATTCCTCAATACAAAATGATTGGATAAATAAATATGGCAATCAACTTGAGAAACCTATGTCATCTATCTATGGAATGATCTCAATGTAAACAGGGACAACAAAAGTTGTTTGGACTTGTAAATATTCAAAGGCAATCTTTTTAAAATAAAATTTCATAATGATATCAGTGATTTCTAATATTATGAATAGTGTTCTATTGGAAATCAGCCAAATAAATATATACAGCATGTCAGCTATGCCAGCAAATACTTACATCTACTTGTAACCAGTTTTCCTTTTTTAGAATGTGTGCTTTCAGTGTTAAAATAAGAAATTTCAAAAATAGATTGAGCCTTGGGCAGTAGATCAGTATTTATCCCGCGTATACAAATGGACTTTGGACTCCCATCCAACAATGTGAGATGCACTCTCACCCTGAACTCTTGGGGGAGGGTCTAGGCCCTGCCCTGGATGAAATGACAGACTATGGACACCCACAAGGAGGGCCTCACCCTCCCTGGGGAAATGAGGGGACATTGGGAAGGGGTTGAGGGGAGGGCATGGGAGGAAGGGAGGGAAAAGGAGAGGGACCTGGAACTAACTTGTGAAGCAACCTTGTTCCTAATTTAAATTTAAATTTAAAAATAAATAGTAAAAAAGAAAAATAAATAAATAAATAAAAGAAATTTCAAAATATTTAATAATGATGACTCATTTTTTTAAAAAACAAATGTGAAAAATAAACACTAAAATTCAGTTAAATTCATTAAAACTAATGTGTTAAATGCATGTTTTATTGAATATACATATAGTTTAACATTAATTGTTCTTTATCATAATATATATTCTAGATTTTTTTCTCTCCTAGCATTAATTCCACGATATGCAAAAAGTTGACAAAATATAACAAATGATGGTTATATTTAGCTAACTGCTATAGAAATAAAAGCCATAAAAATCATGTCAAATCATGTAGTTCTTGAAACTGTATCTGACATGAAATGCTCTGGCATAATATATTACTATTACTATTGCTATTGCTGTTACTGTTACTATTACTATTACTATTACTATTACTCTTACTATTACTCTGAGTGTCCTAGTCCAAAGGCTCCAGCACTTACAGAGGATTTAATAACACAGGCCTGGGCTGTGAATGTCACATGAAATATCTGGCTGTTTATTTTTCCTTTTGGCTTGTTTTAACACTTAGATTGTATTGAAGTCATCAAGAAGTACAGGTTCGTCAGAAAAATCAGACTCGGCAGTGGTGTAGCAAACTGCAAACATAGGTATATTCTTTTCTTAGTTCATCCTTATTAGTCTTAACTGTGTCCAGTTGTCTTACTGTATTGTTTGGATGATAGTTGAGGTGCAAACCACTGTCACAAAGAGGAGAAGAGGTACCACTGCTTTGGTCACTTGGAGCACCTACAGGAGACAAAAGCATAACATTTTACAGGTTACAAAGTCATGCTGTTCTCGAATGTCTCTGTCTAATTATTTTCAATAATATGAAATTGGGGAATAACACAAAGAAATTTGAATTATACCAAAACCAGGACTTGGAAAGTACTATAAGTGGCCATTAGTCTTAGTACGAAAAAATGAAGCTATTTTGAATTTTAGCAACACAAGAGTTTCTTACAAACATTGTATTTTCTTCCATTTCTCATGTTGAAAGAAGCTAGAAGGTGGTAGAAAATATCTTAGACCTGGAATTATTCATGGTTGTGAAGCATAACAGGGTGTTAAGAATAAAATCTATGTCCTCTAAAAGGAGCTAGTGTTATTAACTGCTGAGCCATTTCTTTAATCCCTCTCAAAGAACTTTTAATATTGAAATATGTTGTTACTCTCAAAAGTTCTATTTTATGCTTTTTTCAAAGTAAGAACCCATTCTACCAGTAGAAAGTATAGTTTTTCATGTGTACTCAGTATGTATTAAAAATTCCTCATCAAATATATTCAATTTCATGACATTACAAGGCAAAAATTATATTCAAGCATTTTTAGAAATATAGTAACACACATTTTAAATTTAATTGATAATTAATTTAATCCATCATTTTAATCTATTTAAGCCAATGAATAACATACTAAAGGTTCACAATTTTCAAAGATGTTACTGTAGAGAAACTATTAGTGTCATAAATTGAACACTTGCTACCTGACTTCTGATTCTTCACTGTGACCAGACATTATTACATTGAAGTTTCTAAAGTATTTGAACAACCAATTACGTTTTGAAAGGTCACAGTTGAGTTTAAGCACCAAATTTCTTAAAAAGGTTTACTTCCAAATATGCTATATTCGAGGCTTGTTCTATTTTTTATTACCAAAATGTCTACTGTTTTCCTACAACTAAGAAGTCATTTCCCTGGAATAAATTATCCCATTCTCTCAATACAAAGTTTTGCAGTTAATGGCCTAGAGTGATAGCTGAGTGGTTAAGAACATATGCTGTTCTTGCAGAAGACCTGGGTTTAGTTCGCAGCACCCTATGGCAGCTCCTAACTAGATGTACCTTCAGTTCCATAGACTATGGACAACATCCTCTGGCCTTCTGGAGCATTACAAGCTCATGGTGCACTTAGATAAATGCTAAACACACACACACACACACAAAGAATAAATAATAAACTCTTTTTAAAAATTTATACTTTATTTGCTATTTCATGTAAATTTTAAACAGATTTTTATTTTTAGAGCATTATTTTAATATCATTATATTAAAATATATTCATTTTAAGCTGATTAAATTTACATATTTAAGTGTGATAGCAGCAAATGATACCTGTTTTTTGAAAACACAAACTATCAGATTCTGTGGCTATATTTTAAAATATCACAGAAGAAAATACAAAATTTTAGATGAATATACAAAAATAAACTTGCTAAAAATTCAAATATACTGATATCATAAAAATGTAGTGCAAGAGAAATTTCAATTAAAGAAGCAAAAAGTAAAACATAAAAAGTAAAACAAAAGTTACATCATAGTTAAGTGTATGAGAAGAAGCATCTAGAAAAAGGAAAAAAGTACAAATTATAAGCATCTAATACACTAATAGACACTAATGCAAATAATGAAAGGATCTGATGAGTTAGTTACATATATAAATTAACATCTTCACTGAAGTGGATAGTAGCATGAAAAGAATCTGGTCAATTTTATAAAAAAGTGACTGCAAAAACATTGAATTCATTCTGGAGACAAACACAAAATATTAAAATTAATATTCCATCCTAAAATCGATACTAAGAATTAATAAAATCATGACACATCATAGTAAATATTAGTATTTAAAAATTAATATAATTTCTGTGCTCACTATAAATAATTGGAACCACATTATAGACTACACCTGTGGCAGAAGCTTCCTCTTCCACCAGAGGCCAGGCCAGCATCCTGAATCCCAGGTAAGACCACCTTCCTTCCAACACAGCTGCACTTGCCCAACATAACTCCAGTAGCCATTTGTATCCTCATCATCATATCCCAGACCACATATGTGACACAAGGATTCCACTACATCAGAGGTCAGGCCATAATCCCTGTACTCAAGAGCTATACCAGCATCCTGATGCCTAGAGACCAGGCCAAGTCCCTGAAAACCAGAAAGGAGCCTCCTACCACAGCAGAAATCAGAACTGCCTCAGAATCCCAGAAGACTGCTAGCAGATTAGATGCCACACACATACATATCCAGAACATCAACCCCAAACTTAGAAAGAAAGTCTGTGCTGGATCAGATGCCATCCAGGCCATCAGTAGTCCAGCCCCCTACACAGGCAGAGGCCCATTACTTAACCACAGGCCAGAGAAGAAACAGAAGCTAAAAAAAGAAATTACCTACCTTACAAACAAAAATAATCGAGAAATTGGAGCCTAGATATATCCAGATGCTCAAATTGTAAGTGTAAAAACAGAAAAAATGACAGTCACGGCAATATTTCACAATCAGAACACACCCTTCGTGCTCCATGAAGTTCTGAATATTCCAAGAGCTGAAGAAAAAACAAACGATGTTAAAACCAACTTTATGGTGAAGATAGCGGTGCTTCAAGAAGAGATGAAAAACTCCCTTAAAGAAATTTAGGAAACCACAACCACAAAATTGAAGGAAATCAACAAGTCCCTTAAAGAATGGCAAGGAAAACAAAAACACATGAAGGAAACTATTCAAGACATTAAAATATAAATGGAAGTAATAATGAAAACATGATTTGAAGGAATTCAGAAAATGAAAAATCTAGAGAAGTGAACAGGAACTACAGACACAAGCATTCCCAACAGAATTCAAGAGATGGAGGACAGACTCTCAAGCGTTAAAGACACAATAGAAGAAATAGATTATTCTGGCAAAGAATATGTTAGCTCTAAAAAATTATCTTGGACACCATGAAAGAGCCAATACTAAGAGTGATAGGAATAGAAGAAGGAGAATATTCCAAGCTTAAAAATGCCAGAAAATAAATTTAACAAAATCATAGAATGAAATTTCCCTAACCAAATATGCCTATAAAGGTAGACGAAGCTCACAGAACACCAAAGAAATTGGTTCAGAAAAGAAAATCCTCACATCACATAATAATCAAACCACTTAACATACAGAACAAAAACAGAATATTAAAAGCTGCAAGAGAAAAAGCCCAAGTATTATATAAGGCAGACTTATAAGAATTTCAACTGCTTCAATCTAACTAGCTGGTCAGCAGGAAAGCCTCCTGCAGGCAGGCTGCACCAACACTCCCCATGGGATCCTGTAATCTACAAGTCCCAATCAGCCCCCAAACCTACCCATCACCTGTGAAACAAGCTGCTCCATGAGACACATACATTGACTACACAGAAGAGACCAAAGTGACAAGCCTCCTGTCAGAACCAAATACCCTCTAGGTCCTAGGCCACAGGGAAAATTCCTGCCCCACCCCCACCTATCTCTGGCACACTAACCTTTAAAGAGTTTATTAGGAAAGGTTCCTGCAGGCAGGCTGCACCAACATCTCCCCATCAGACTCTGTAATCTGCAAGTTCTACTACCCCCAAACTCACACAACCCTGGAGACCTCATAGGTTCCCTGAGGTACAGACAATGACTGCACACAGAATACCAAAAGTAGATTCTTGAGAAACAGAAAGTGACCACATCTATTGGTCCAAGAGAGTATCTCTGAGACACAGACATTGAACGCAAAGGTTGGACCAAGAGGCAAAGACAGTATCTGCATGGACTGGAGGAAGACATGGGTAGATGTCAATGCAAGAGTACATTAAAAACATAAAGAGCAATATGGTGCCTGGAAAGGAATCATAAAGATTTTAAGAGATCATGGATGCTAACACAGACTACTATATCAAGCAAAATGTCAAACACCATAGTTGGACAACACAAGATATTCCGTGAGAAAACGTAATTGAAACAATATCTATCTACAAATCCAGCTCTAGAAGGAAGAGTTCAATCCAAGGATTTTAGCAGTACCCAAAAAAGTACAGGCAATAGATAATCCCACATGAGCAAACACTGAAAAAGAGAAGCACATAGAGGTCACCAAAAATAACAGGAATCAACAATTGGGGGTCATTTATATCCCCTAATACCAATGGACTCAATTCACCTGTAAAAAGACACAAGATAATAGAATGGATATGAAAAAGCAATTCATCTTTCTGTTGAATACAGGAAACCCACCTCAGCTTCAAAGACAGACATCAGAGAAAGAGTTAGGAAAAGACTTTCCAATTAAATGAACCTAAGAAGCAAGCTAGTGTAGCTTTCCTGACATATAACAGAATAGACTTCAAACTAAAGGTAACTAAAGGAGAGAATGAAGGACATTCCATAGTCAAGACAGGAAAAATCAATCATGATGAAGTATCAACACGGAACATAATATGCCTAAGAAACAAGGGTGCCTACAATTGTAAAAGAAATATTAATAAAGCTTAAATTGCCCATCAAACCACACTTAAACACTCCATTCTCACCAATGAATATGTCAGCCAGACAGAAAATTAACAGAGAAATAAAGGATCTAAGAGGTGTTATGATTCAAATCAGCTTAACCGACATCTATAGAACATGTCACCGAAACACAAAAGAATATACATTCCTCTCAGCACCTCATTCTCTAAATTGCCCATATGCCAAGTAACAAAGCAAATCTCAACATAGACAAAAACTTGGAATAAACCCCCTTTATCTTAATGGATCAACACAGCTTAAAGTTAGAATTCAACAACAAAAATTCTAGAAAGCCTACAAACTCATGGAAACTGAATAATGCACAAGTGAAACATAGCTTGGTCAAGGAAGAAAATGAAGAAAGAAATTAAAGAATTCCTAGTATTCAAAGAAGATGAGTGCAAAACACTATGGGATACTATAAGAGCAGTATGTGGAAAAATCCCACACTAGTGGGAC